GACATCATTTTGTGTTAGGAGAGGGCGGTGGGAGGTTGGTCTATTTAGCTTGTGGGGTCATCATTTTCTGTTAGAAGGTTTGGGTTAGAGGGAGGTATTTTAAGTTAGTCTTTTGTATTTGATTGGTTAAAGTTCTTTTCATTTGATTGGTTAAGCTTCTTGACGTCATTTTGTGTTAGGAGAGGGCGGTGGGAGGTTGGTCTATTTAGCTTGTGGGGTCATCATTTTCTGTTAGAAGGTTTGGGTTAGAGGGAGGTATTTTAAGTTAGTCTTTTCTATTTGATTGGTTAAAGTTCTTTGCATTTGATTGGTTAAGCTTCTTGACGTCATTTTGTGTTAGGAGAGGGCGGTGGGAGGTTGGTCTATTTAGCTTGTGGGGTCATCATTTTCTGTTAGAAGGTTTGGGTTAGAGGGAGGTATTTTAAGTTAATCTCCTTGTATTTGATTGGTTAAGCTCCTTGGGGATCAGGAACTTAGAGAATAGATCCTCAGCCCAATAGGGGCTTGTCGTAAGAGGCGACAGAAGGGTGTAGTTTAAGGGGTAGACTTAGGCTCTGAATTTTCTGAGAGGCTGGACTTTAAGTTGGTGTGTGCTTAAAAAGTACAACCTCCCAGAAAATTCTTCCCTTTAGGTGTTAGGAGGGTTTGGTTAGAAGAGGGTCTCTTTAGTTATTCTGTTTGTATTTGATTGGTTAAAGTTCTTTTCATTTGATTGTTTAAGCTTCTTGACGTCATTTTGTGTTAGGAGAGGGCGGTGGGAGGTTGGTCTATTTAGCTTGTGGGGTCATCATTTTCTGTTAGAAGGTTTGGGTTAGAGGGAGGTATTTTAAGTTAGTCTTTTCTATTTGATTGGTTAAAGTTCTTTTCATTTGATTGGTTAAGCTTCTTGACGTCATTTTGTGTTAGGAGAGGGCGGTGGGAGGTTGGTCTATTTAGCTTGTGGGGTCATCATTTTCTGTTAGAAGGTTTGGGTTAGAGGGAGGTATTTTAAGTTAATCTCCTTGTATTTGATTGGTTAAAGTTCTTTTCATTTGATTGGTTAAGCTTCTTGACGTCATTTTGTGTTAGGAGAGGGCGGTGGGAGGTTGGTCTATTTAGCTTGTGGGGTCATCATTTTCTGTTAGAAGGTTTGGGTTAGAGGGAGGTATTTTTAGTAAGTCTTTTCTATTTGATTGGTTAAAGTTCTTTTCATTTGATTGGTTAAGCTTCTTGACGTCATTTTGTGTTAGGAGAGGGCGGTGGGAGGTTGGTCTATTTAGCTTGTGGGGTCATCATTTTCTGTTAGAAGGTTTGGGTTAGAGGGAGGTATTTTAAGTTAATCTCCTTGTATTTGATTGGTTAAGCTCCTTGGGGATCAGGAACTTAGAGAATAGATCCTCAGCCCAATAGGGGCTTGTCGTAAGAGGCGACAGAAGGGTGTAGTTTAAGGGGTAGACTTAGGCTCTGAATTTTCTGAGAGGCTGGACTTTAAGTTGGTGTGTGCTTAAAAAGTACAACCTCCCAGAAAATTCTTCCCTTTAGGTGTTAGGAGGGTTTGGTTAGAAGAGGGTCTTTTTAGTTATTCTGTTTGTATTTGATTGGTTAAAGTTCTTTTCATTTGATTGGTTAAGCTTCTTGACGTCATTTTGTGTTAGGAGAGGGCGGTGGGAGGTTGGTCTATTTAGCTTGTGGGGTCATCATTTTCTGTTAGAAGGTTTGGGTTAGAGGGAGGTATTTTAAGTTAGTCTTTTCTATTTGATTGGTTAAAGTTCTTTTCATTTGATTGGTTAAGCTTCTTGACGTCATTTTGTGTTAGGAGAGGGCGGTGGGAGGTTGGTCTATTTAGCTTGTGGGGTCATCATTTTCTGTTAGAAGGTTTGGGTTAGAGGGAGGTATTTTAAGTTAGTCTTTTCTATTTGATTGGTTAAAGTTCTTTTCATTTGATTGGTTAAGCTTCTTGACGTCATTTTGTGTTAGGAGAGGGCGGTGGGAGGTTGGTCTATTTAGCTTGTGGGGTCATCATTTTCTGTTAGAAGGTTTGGGTTAGAGGGAGGTATTTTTAGTAAGTCTTTTGTATTTGATTGGTTAAAGTTCTTTTCATTTGATTGGTTAAGCTTCTTGACGTCATTTTGTGTTAGGAGAGGGCGGTGGGAGGTTGGTCTATTTAGCTTGTGGGGTCATCATTTTCTGTTAGAAGGTTTGGGTTAGAGGGAGGTATTTTAAGTTAATCTCCTTGTATTTGATTGGTTAAGCTCCTTGGGGATCAGGAACTTAGAGAATAGATCCTCAGCCCAATAGGGGCTTGTCGTAAGAGGCGACAGAAGGGTGTAGTTTAAGGGGTAGACTTAGGCTCTGAATTTTCTGAGAGGCTGGACTTTAAGTTGGTGTGTGCTTAAAAAGTACAACCTCCCAGAAAATTCTTCCCTTTAGGTGTTAGGAGGGTTTGGTTAGAAGAGGGTCTTTTTAGTTATTCTGTTTGTATTTGATTGGTTAAAGTTCTTTTCATTTGATTGGTTAAGCTTCTTGACGTCATTTTGTGTTAGGAGAGGGCGGTGGGAGGTTGGTCTATTTAGCTTGTGGGGTCATCATTTTCTGTTAGAAGGTTTGGGTTAGAGGGAGGTATTTTAAGTTAGTCTTTTCTATTTGATTGGTTAAAGTTCTTTTCATTTGATTGGTTAAGCTTCTTGACGTCATTTTGTGTTAGGAGAGGGCGGTGGGAGGTTGGTCTATTTAGCTTGTGGGGTCATCATTTTCTGTTAGAAGGTTTGGGTTAGAGGGAGGTATTTTAAGTTAGTCTTTTGTATTTGATTGGTTAAAGTTCTTTTCATTTGATTGATTAAGCTTCTTGACATCATTTTGTGTTAGGAGAGGGCGGTGGGAGGTTGGTCTATTTAGCTTGTGGGGTCATCATTTTCTGTTAGAAGGTTTGGGTTAGAGGGAGGTATTTTAAGTTAGTCTTTTCTATTTGATTGGTTAAAGTTCTTTTCATTTGATTGGTTAAGCTTCTTGACGTCATTTTGTGTTAGGAGAGGGCGGTGGGAGGTTGGTCTATTTAGCTTGTGGGGTCATCATTTTCTGTTAGAAGGTTTGGGTTAGAGGGAGGTATTTTAAGTTAGTCTTTTGTATTTGATTGGTTAAAGTTCTTTTCATTTGATTGGTTAAGCTTCTTGACGTCATTTTGTGTTAGGAGAGGGCGGTGGGAGGTTGGTCTATTTAGCTTGTGGGGTCATCATTTTCTGTTAGAAGGTTTGGGTTAGAGGGAGGTATTTTAAGTTAGTCTTTTGTATTTGATTGGTTAAAGTTCTTTTCATTTGATTGGTTAAGCTTCTTGACGTCATTTTGTGTTAGGAGAGGGCGGTGGGAGGTTGGTCTATTTAGCTTGTGGGGTCATCATTTTCTGTTAGAAGGTTTGGGTTAGAGGGAGGGTTTTTAGTAAGTCTTTTCTATTTGATTGGTTAAAGTTCTTTTCATTTGATTGGTTAAGCTTCTTGACGTCATTTTGTGTTAGGAGAGGGCGGTGGGAGGTTGGTCTATTTAGCTTGTGGGGTCATCATTTTCTGTTAGAAGGTTTGGGTTAGAGGGAGGTATTTTAAGTTAATCTCCTTGTATTTGATTGGTTAAGCTCCTTGGGGATCAGGAACTTAGAGAATAGATCCTCAGCCCAATAGGGGCTTGTCGTAAGAGGCGACAGAAGGGTGTAGTTTAAGGGGTAGACTTAGGCTCTGAATTTTCTGAGAGGCTGGACTTTAAGTTGGTGTGTGCTTAAAAAGTACAACCTCCCAGAAAATTCTTCCCTTTAGGTGTTAGGAGGGTTTGGTTAGAAGAGGGTCTTTTTAGTTATTCTGTTTGTATTTGATTGGTTAAAGTTCTTTTCATTTGATTGGTTAAGCTTCTTGACGTCATTTTGTGTTAGGAGAGGGCGGTGGGAGGTTGGTCTATTTAGCTTGTGGGGTCATCATTTTCTGTTAGAAGGTTTGGGTTAGAGGGAGGTATTTTAAGTTAGTCTTTTGTATTTGATTGGTTAAAGTTCTTTTCATTTGATTGGTTAAGCTTCTTGACGTCATTTTGTGTTAGGAGAGGGCGGTGGGAGGTTGGTCTATTTAGCTTGTGGGGTCATCATTTTCTGTTAGAAGGTTTGGGTTAGAGGGAGGTATTTTAAGTTAGTCTTTTCTATTTGATTGGTTAAAGTTCTTTTCATTTGATTGGTTAAGCTTCTTGACGTCATTTTGTGTTAGGAGAGGGCGGTGGGAGGTTGGTCTATTTAGCTTGTGGGGTCATCATTTTCTGTTAGAAGGTTTGGGTTAGAGGGAGGTATTTTAAGTTAGTCTTTTCTATTTGATTGGTTAAAGTTCTTTTCATTTGATTGGTTAAGCTTCTTGACGTCATTTTGTGTTAGGAGAGGGCGGTGGGAGGTTGGTCTATTGTGGGGTCACCATTTTGTGTTAGGAGGATTGGGTTAGAGGGTTGTCTTTTAAGTTAGCCCTTTTGTATTAATTAGGTTTAGCCCCTTGGGTTTCAAGGGTTTAGAGAATAGATCCTCAGCCCATTAGGTTCGTGATGTAAGAGGCAACAGAAGGGTGTAGTTTTTGTTCTTAAATGGTAGACTTAAGACCTAAATTATTAAGAGTTTGTTACACTTCTCCTTCTTCCTATCTCCCTTTTGCTTTTTGCATAGGAGGGGTAATATACACTTTCCTTCTTCTGTCCGGAACCTTAGTTGTAAGAATACAATAATATTGATAAGAAAAAATCACTTTTTGTGACATTGATTTCCACATTCTGTGGTTAAAAAAACAAAATTAAAATCCAAAATGTAATTTGAATGCTTTTGAAATTTTTAATGGTCATTTTTAACATTTTTTGGAAGTATTGTATTAAAAGAGAATTAATTGCAACTTTAATATGAATCTTTCACACAATAAGTCTTATTTCTTTATGGTAATTTGGTAAAAATGCATTACCATTACATTAGGCCTGGCTCTTACTGTTCATATGAAACACTGCCAGCTGATTTCTTTCAGAAAAGAAGAATTCAGCATACAATAGATTCTTTTACCAATGTGCCCCCTGGAAAAGGCTACTGGACACAAATATTAGCATTAACATATGTGTACTTTAATTTAGGACAAGTGAGTCAGGTAAGTCAGCACCACTTTTAAACAAACTTATGACAGGTCTAATTAAAAGATTGAGTGATCACTTGATCTTTTTGTTTCACTTTTTAGTCCAAGTGATGATCTGATTGCAATTTTGTCATTTATACAACTACCCTTTTGATATACTTATCATATACTGAGAAACTGATTTGTTTAAACAAAGAGCCATAAACATTTCCAAGGGGAGATAATTCAGAAATGATGAAAATTGGGTTGCAACATTTTAAATCTCAAGCACCACTGGGCCAGACAGATGAAATGTGAAGGTTTTGTGAGATAGTGTTGATTCAAGTTTGTTCAAATCATGATGATTGGGGGGGGGGGGGGGGGACCACCATGTGCTTGTAAATATGTTGATTTTTTGGCATGTCTTGTGATATTAATGACTTACATTTGAGGTTTGAGTTTTGCATTCATTGTCCCATTGTTATCAAAGTTATTACTTTTAAAGGCAGAGATTTTTCCTGGGTGGTAAATTCCCGGTTAGGGAGGGGCTTATTTTGTACAGGTGTAAATGCCTTGAGTGCTAGCAGTGTACCTGTGATCATTTGTTTCCTAATAGCGTGATTTAATACACAATAAAATACCCAAGAAGTCAAACTTTTGGTTTTTTAAGTTTGGATTCACATGTTATACTTTATACGTTCATACCTGGGAGTTCATCTATAATTTTTTGAAGATAAAGGTACAATGTATATCCTAATTTTTGTCACCATGTCAAAACATCTAAACATGCTCAAAGAAAGAGTTGCTTCTAAAGTCTTATCTAAAATATAAAGCAAAATTACAAGGTAGTCATGATTAGAAACTTTAAATTTAATTACATGACATTTCCACTATACATATATAATGGATATTTTTAGCATATCCCAATTAATGTTTTCTCAATTCAGGTTTGAATACTGAATCGATTATACTGTAAATGTAAATTTATTTTGAAAAAAAAAGTTATTTATACCAAAGTTTGATATATTATCATGAAGAAAATTATAGTTATTTCAAATACTAAAAGTTATTATCAAGCTAAAAATTTCCAATAGTAATCATAGTAATACATCTCCATATGTGGAAAATGTCAAAGGACCAAAGGTCACCATGACTGCCAAACGAAGTGTATAGGGTAAACATGGGGACTAGTAAGTAAATGTCAATCAAATTTTAGCACCTAATGATGGACCTTAATGCACTTGATTGACAGAGGTACACAGACCAGGTATTTTTGAAGGTCGTGCTTAAAATCTCCGCCTTTAAGACTGTATCTTGGGGCCCTTTCGAGTATTAGATTTGGTTCTGTGTGTCTTACATGTATCTTGTCTGTCCATCATTCATGCAATAAAGATTTAAAGTTTTACACTGGAATATATAGGGAAAATCTTCTTTTCAAGAACAACAAAGCCATGATTAGTCATAATGATATGGAAGCATCTTCAGGAAGTGTAGATTCAAATTGTTAAAATCATGATCCCCAGGGTAGGGTGGGCCATAATGATAAAGTTTTACGTAGGACTACATAGAAAAAATCTTTAAAAATCTTTTCTCAAGAACAACAAAGCTATAATTAGTCTTGGGTGATATGGAAGCATCTTCAGATAGTGTAAGATTTAAATTTGTCCAAATCATGACCCTCAGGGCTATGGTTGGGGCCAAAATGGGGGATCAAAGTTGTACATAAGAATATATTTGAAAAAGTCTTCCAACATCTCAAGAATAACAAAGCCATTAATATTAGTAATCTGCTGATGAAGAACGACAAGGTATATTGACTCAGGTAGCATTGTGCCCCATGGGCCTCTTCTTATAGAATTTCCAATCAGAAAAGTGTTTTAACAATCAGACAACTGATACCAGAAAATAAAAGAAGAAATATATGCATTAAAGAACAGGTCTGGACGATTTCCAAATATAGAAGTCAAGAACGATAACCGTGAATTGCTATAAATACACAGAATAAAGAAGGTGCAAATCCATCTGACCAATCAGATAACAGCATTTAGACAAACCCATGAGCAAATAAATAAAACACGTGGTTTTAAAGTTTTCTGCTCAAAAGATTTTTTAAAACAAACTTTTTGTAAACTTCATGCACATTTACGAATGATATAGTATACTTGACAATTCTACCGTGAACAAACCGACTTGAAAGCTTAGAATAAATTCTAAGTGGGATTAAAAATTTGTCACTACGAGGTAGCAATCCCAAAAGTTTAACTTGTGCTAAGAAATTTAATGTAAATATGGCAGATTTTCAGTTTTTAGAACCTAGCTGACATGAAAATGTTTTTGTATGGGAATATAACAGTCTTACATGTAATTATTTCCTGAGTGCTTATTACAAAATCGTCCATGCAGTTTCTGGTATGCGAGGTAAGATACGGTGATAAAAAGCATTCATCTACATTCCCTTTTCTCCACGTTTTACACCTTTCCTTATGTCCATTTAAAGTGTATATAACATGGTTTTCGGCGCTTATGAAACCCGTGTTATTCTAAAATGACATGTAATCCAAACGATGAATACTCTATATCTATACGCATGGAAACTACGCGTTATTGATGAAAATCGGACGTCAAAGCAAAATTATATTTACCAACGAAGAGTATGTTCTGGTAAATGTTATAATTGTACTTGACAATAGCTTGACAATGTGATCTATTCTTTCGTAAACGATCGCATTGTTACATGCATTAATTTTTTTTTTCTTTTCCAAGATGAAAATGTCAAGTTTGTTCACGGTAAATATGTGGGGAATACCTTATTCTTCCAAACTTTTCATCTTACTTCTAAAGATTTTTTGTCAAAAATATCTTTCTGATGAAAAAAACAAAAGCACGTGTTCTCTTTTTGTTCCTTTGAAATATGTTTTGGGGTGAGTAAAAATGCTGTTTTCTGATTTGGCGGAGAAATATTTACGTGTATATGATGTATATTTATAGCAACTTTCAGTTATCGATCTTGACTTCCATATTTGGAAATCGTCCAGACCTGAAGAAAGGTAAATGTTTGTACTACACAGTTGATTCAACTCAAAATGAATTATGACTTTTTCTTTTAGAGAGGGATTGTGACATAGTGTAGATTGCTGACACTTGTTGGAAGGATACCTTTCAGTTACCTACAATTCTACCAACTGGAAAAATCAGTACTAATGCCACTTGTGTTACTGGACTATTAGTCGAGGATGGAGTTCTTTATTGAAACAGTTCTCAAGTACTGACTAACAGCTCGACTTCATGAATTTTACAAAACAGTGCTCAAGTATTGACTTTCATCGTAATGGACTCCACAAAACGGTACTCTAGTACAGACTGTATCTCTCCATACCGAACTTCCTTTTTTTTTTTTACCTTATATTATTTGATTAAATTTAGCAATTTTTGTGGTAGTACTCATAACTGTAAAAATTTAACTGAATAAAATATTAACTGAAATAAGAGGAATGTTTCTTTTACACACAACCATTTTCATCTCATCAGCTGTCAAGCTTTTCTGATCACCTGTGATTGATGTATGTCTATATGTATATTAGTCCATCTATTACTAGTAACTTTCCACTTTTTAAAAAAACTTTTTCTTGCGAACTACTATCCATGGGTAAAAAGACTTCAATATTTTTCAAAGGAAGGACCATGCCCAATCAAAGGAGAGATAATCAAGAAAATGCAAAATTGGGGTCATCAAAAATTCCTTGGGAACCTCTGAGCTAGGAGTATACGATAGGGCCTACAATAAAAAGCATTTATAAACATCCAAAAATATTTCAATATTTTATGATATTTAGTAAATCTAGCTATAAATAAATACAAGTTATTAGGTCACCTGAGTCACTCAGGTGACCTATTGCTATCTGTTTTCGTCCGTCGTGCGTTAACTTTTGAACATTTTTAGCTTCTTCTCTGAAACCACTCAACCATTTTCAACCAAATTTGGCATATAGCATCTATGGATGAAGGGGAACAAAAATTGTGAATTTCATGGTCCCTGTCCCCCTGGGGCCTGAGGGGTGGGGCTAAAACCACCAAAATTAATGCAATCTTTAAAAATCTTCTTCTTTACTCCTGGACATCAAGCAGTCAAACTGTTGGTATAATTGTAATAAGCATTGAGCCCTCTACCAAAATTGTGAAATTCATGGCCCCAGGGTCAGGGGTTCTGGTGATAGGGTGGGGCTATATAGATCATATAGTGAAAGTGCATTATTTCTTTGAAAATCTTCTTCTCTGCTTCTGGGTATTCAGTAAACTAACTAAGTACATAGTTATAATGAGCAAGAGTGCCTTTTCCAAAATTGTGAATTTCATGGCCCCAGGGTCAGGGGTTCTGGTGTTAGGGCGGGGCTCTATTGATTATATAGTGAAAATGCATTAATTCTTTGAAAATCTTCTTCTCTGCTTCTGGGTATTAAATAAACTAACTTAGTGCATAGTTATGAAGAGTAAGAGTGCTTCTTCCAAAATTGTGAAATTCATGGCCCCAGGGTCAGGGGTTCTGGTGCTAATTATAAGATGGGGCTAAATAGATCATATAGTGAAAGTGCATTATTTCTATGAAAATCTTCTTCTCTGCTCCTGGGTATAAAATAAACTAAGTACATAGTTATGGAGAGCAAGAGTGCCTCTTCCAAAATTGTGAATTTCATGGCCCCTGGGTCAGGGGTTCTGGTGTTAGGGTGGGGCTTTATTGATTATATAGTGAAAATGCATTAATTCTTTAAAAATCTTCTTCTCTGCTTCTGGGTATTAAATAGACTTAGTGCATAGTTATGATGAGCAAGAGCGTCTCTTCCAAAATTGGGAATTTCATGGCCCCAGGGTCAGGGGTTCTGGTGTTAGGGCAGGGCTCTATTAATTATATAGTGAAAATGCATTAATTCTTTGAAAATCTTCTTCTCTGCTCCTGGGTATTCAATAAACTAAGTACATAGTTATGGAGAGCAAGAGTGCCTCTTCCAAAATTGTGAAATTCATGGCCCCAGGGTCAGGGGTTCTGGTGTTAGGGCGGGGCTCTATTAATCATATAGTGAAAATACATTAATTCACTGAACATTTTCTCTGCTCCTGGGTATTTTAAAAACTAACTAAAAACTTATTTATGGTGAGCATGGCTGTCTTTTCAGAAATTGTGAATTTCATGGCCCCTGGGTCAGGGGTTCTGGTGTTAGGGCGGGGCTCTATTAATTATATAGTGAAAATACATTAATTCATTGAAAATCTCTGCTACTAGGTATTAAATAATCTATCTAAGAATATAGTTATGGTGAGCATGGCTGCCTTTTCAGAAATTGTGAATTTCATGGCCCCTGGGTCAGGGGTTCTGGTGTTAGGGTGGGGCTCTATTGATTATACAGTAAAATTGCATTAATACTTTGAAATCTTCTTCTCTGTTCCTGGGTATTAAATAAACTAACTTAGTGCATAGTTATGAAGAGCAAGAGTGCCTCTTCCAAAATTGTGAATTTAATGGCCCTTTGGTCAGGGGTTCTGGTGTTGGGGCCGGGCTCTATTGATACATATAGTGAAAATGCATTAATTCTTTGAAAATTTTCTTCTCTGCTCCTGGATATTAAATAAACTAAGTACAAAGTTATGATGAGCATGGCTGCCTCCTCAGAAATTATGAATTTCATGGCCCTTGGGTCAGGGGTTCTGGTGTTAGGACAGAGCTCTATTGATTATATAGGGAAAATGCATAAAATCTTTCAAAATCTTCTCTGCACTTGGGTATTTTTCAAACAAAGATAGTGCATGGTTATGATACAGAAAAATGCCTCTTCCAAAATTGTGAAGTCATGGCCCCTGGGTCAGGGGATATGGTGAAAGGGGGGGGGGGCTCTATTGATTATATAGTGAAAATGCATAATTTCTTTCAAAATATTTTTTGTACTACTGGTTATAAAGCAAAGAAACAAGTGTAAAGTTATGATGTGCAAGGGTGTTTCTTCCAGAATTGTGAGTTCATGGTCAGATGTTCTGGTGTAAGGATGGGGTTTTATTTATTTAAAAATAAAGTGAAAATGCATTTCTTTGAAAATCTTCTATGCTTCTGGGCATATTCGAGGCAAACAGAGTAAAAGTTTTAATATGCAACATGTGCAAGGGTATTTTTACCAGAATTTTGAACACCTGGACCATTTAGTCAAGTGTTCTGGTCCTGGCCAGGGCTCTATTAACTTGTATTCTGCTGAGCGAAGTTATTCCCCTTTGCCATTCACCTTTGATAATTAATCACTGTAAATAATGTACTTGAAAGGTTAATAGAATAAGAGAATTATGCAAGAATATTTATTGTATAATACAAAAAATACATTCAAAGTTTTAATGATCAGGTAGACTTGGAAATAATAAATGAATAAAAATGAGACAAAAATAACATCTCTTTTTATATGTTCTTCAAAGGCCAAGAGAGGCCACCGTGAGAAGCAATAATATAGGGTTAAAAAATAAACATTTTGTTAATAGTCTGCATGGTAATAGTGATAAATGGGGGACAGAGGGATACTAGACCAATTATTTTGTTGATGCTGATCATACTATTTTTCTTGCTTTTGGGCAACAAAGCTTCATTTATCAGTTTATGGATCCTCTAAATTGTTGTATTGTATTCAGGTGACCGTTAAGGCCCTTGGGCCTTTTGTATCAGTACGTGGCAAAAGTAGTCATAATTATCTCGAACAAGGTCAGTGAAAATTATAGAATTTATATGGGATACATGTATATATATGGAGAACTATTGAGTGAGCAGTAAGAAATATAGATTTGTGTATTTGAACCAACTGAAACCAGAGACATCTTAAGAGTCATTCTCTGTAAGCATCAAAATGGGCTGGAAATAGACTCTCACCGATTTTGTTTAATCTTGGTGACATAATTACATTATAAGCCCATTTTAAAAAAATAGTATCGCAAATGATCAATTGGCATTGTTTCCATGGTAACGGGTCACCTATTTTTGCACATATGTGGGAAATAACAACAAAGGTCATTTCACCCCATTAATATTTATTTGATGAATTTAAATGACTATTATTAATTTTTATCTTTAAAATTATTTGTGAATTGTATTTCCTAAACAAGAAAACTGCAGAAAAAAGTTTTGGACCTGCCAAGAAATGCAAAGTAATGTCAAAAAATGCTATTAAAAAGGTGGGGAAAACATAACAGTGTACCTAAAAAACGCAGGCACTGGTGGAATATTTTGATGCTCCTAATTTTACCCTAAACAATTATTATGAACATATCAAAAAAATGGAGTGGTAATATTTGATTTAAGAAAATAAATCAATTGTAAAAATCTCTGAAATTACATACTTTTTCACCAAGAGTTGTTTCCCTTTTCGGAAATCTTCAGCCAAATTTCAAGAAAATGAAAGTGAAAGTAGAGCGCAGAACATGATTCAGAGGAGTTAATTCTCACTGTTTTGGATATTTTCAGTCATTTTAAACCTACCTTGTATAGTATTTCGTATTACTGGAATTTAAGTGTTTGGTCAAGCCTTGCTGTGCCTGAGAAATATATGTGTTTGGTCGTGACAAGCCTGAAATGGATTTCACCTTATTGAAATTCCAAGTGTGATACGTACCGATGCTCTGCATGAACAATAGAAGCATTGGAAACAAATTATTTATAAGAAAGCAACAGCAGTAACATGGATTCCAGAGCTACAATTATGTTGCGTTTGTTGATAAGGCCGTGAAAGATACCTGGCAGTAATAAGATCACTAGGCAAGTATCAAAGTACAAAAACCTTTAAAAATTATTTACCTTGGTCAATATTTACTCTTAACTCATGCATGTTTGTGAATTATAAGTAAATTAATTAATAACAGCGTATAAATATCTATAAGAAAGAAACATCAAAGTATCCAAAAAAACATCAATGACATTTGAATTCAATTATTAAAAACATTAATTAATAATTAATAAACTGCATGTAATAATAAATATCTGTTGTTGAAAATTATGTTATCCATACAGCATATATGATAAAATCTACATTGGTTTTAAAGTTACATCAAATTTCAATGTGTGTTTGCATAAGGGGGGGGGGGGGGGGTAACAATATATAGTTACTGTCTTGCATTCATTCAATCATTAACTGTTTTTACATGTTGATCCAGGTAGAATGTAAACACATGTAAAACCATCACATTGCTAAACAAAACACAACATTGTAGGTTTCAGTGTGTCCAGGGCTTAATTTTGTTTGTTTGTTTGGATTATTTTTGGAGGGGTGGGGGTAGTGTCATGTGCTATTTCATTTAAGAACTAATTATATATAATTTGAAAAACTTTGAAATTTGTTTTATAATCTCTAATTACATTATATAATTGCAACTTT